CACCTGCAGCCAGACCCTCCACTGTCCCATCTCCTTGCCATTCCCTCGAGTTTTGTCAGTGTCCCCAGAGAGCAGAGCTGAACAAACACGGGGACCTCATGTGCTCCTCACCCATCTTACTCTCCAGAGCCTTCACCACTTTGAAGCCCTCCTTTGGACACTCGCCAATAACTTGATGTCCTTCTGTTAGTGTGCTGCCCAAAAGTGCACACACGACAGGACTCGAGGCGATGCGGAAAGAGCGCGGAGCAGAGCACAGCAATCCCTGCCCCCGAGCGGCTGGCGATACCATACTGGAGGCACCCCAGGATGCAGTTCCCCTCCTGGCTGCCAGGGCCCGTGCTTGAATCCCGTTCAACTTGCTATTGACCAAAACCCCCAGATCCCGCTCTGCAGGGCTGCGCTCCAGCCTCTCGTCCCCCTGACTGTCCGTACCGCCAGGGTTGCCCCTTGCCAGGCGTGGAATCCCTCACTCACTCTTGCTAAACCTCCTCATATTGCTGGGGATTGCCCAGCTCTCTGATTTGTCAAGATCTCTCTGCAAAGCCTTCGTCCCCTTGATGGAGTCAGCCACTCCTTCCTGTTCAGCATCATGCCTAAATGGACTCCATCTGCCCTCAAGTCCTACATGCGAGTCAGTCAGGACAACCCTGAAGAGAACAGGCCCTAAAATGGAGGCCTGCGGAAGCCCCTAGTGACTGGCCAGCAGCCCAATGCAACCCCATTTACAATTACCCTTGGAGCCCGACCCGTCAGCCCGTCAGATGGGGGGGGACATCGCCAGGGCAGCTGACCTAAACCAACCAAAGGGATATTCTAGAACACCTGATGCCACACTCTGCAACAAAAATGGGGGCTCCCGTTAGGAAGGGGGCTGTCCTCCTGAACATCCACTATGTGTTTTGAGGCCCTGCTTCCCAAGACTTGGCCGAACATGGCTCGTTGATGGGAAGTAGAGAATATTTCTTCCTTCTCTCTGTGCTTCTGTGTGGCCTTATTGTTTCTTTTGTTTCTTGTACTCCCCATTCCCCTTCCAATTAATTAAGCCATTCTCATCTCCAACCTCGAGCTCTTTGTGCTGTTTTTTCTTCCCCAGTTTAAAAGCCACTCTTCTGTGTTCGCAATAAGTGAAGTAACTTTAATTCCTACCTTGCTTGTTATTTTACCATAATTTAAAAGTAAATTTTAATTAAATTGAATTAAAATATAATTTCATTTAGAAACCATAAATGAATCAGAAACCACTTTATGTCTATCCCTGAGTAAGTTGTGAGAAATAAGAAAGAATTTCAGTCGTCATCCAGGTGAGCACTTCCTCACCTGGCTTCTTTGATGCTGGGATACTGCCAATAGCCAAAAACTAGAAGGCAGTGAAGCCAAGCAGCTGGGATCCCTCTCCACAGGGTTGCCTTTTTCTTCTCGAGGACAAGCTCCCCTCTTATACCCTTCTCCCCACAGCAGTCGTTTTCAAAAACAACTTTTCATTGGTCAAACAACTTTGCATATAACAGGAACAGCAAGCACGCAGCAACATCCATGCCTTAATGGCTGGAGAACAAGCAACCTGAGACTGCATGGAGTCTCCTGAATCACCCTTCTTTATTCCCTCTAAACTCTTTTACATTCCTGATGGCCTCATCATTAAGAGTCTGATGTTGCCACCAACCATGGGGTTTGCCTACCCCCATGGCCACACTCCCCCATCTCCCCCTTCTTTATTAATATCAACCATCTTCTTGACATGAATCATTACTCTGTATATCCCATTGAGTACACCTGTTATGTCTTGTTTTCTTTGTGAAGTTGTTTTTCTTCTCCGCTGTTGCACTCTGTATTTAGGAATTCATCTTTTTCTCACAGAATGGCATAAAAGATCTTTCATGTGGGTGCATCCAACGAAGTCAGCTTGTGAAATGTGAGCTAATAGCAATGTAATGCTGTGTCAGGCTGGAAGAGCAGCTTTGCTACAGCTCCTGGTCTTCTTTTAGGTCATTTGAGGAGGGAACCCTGACAGCATCTCCCTGCAGTCCCACTTCTCCCCTGCTGGCCTAGCTAGCCAAGCATCTGGGAGAACACGGGACCCAACCATCGCCCCACAGGGACACCACGACTGTGCACAGACCAGGGTATAGCTTTTGGACATAGCCCCATGCCCCTGAAGCACCACTTTCTCCTAATCCACCACAATGTGAACATTTACAGAACACCTGGTATATAAAAGACAGAATATTTGTGCTGGCCACAAATTCCAGAGGACGTCTCCTGCCCCAGATAGAAGTGAGGGCCATATCACGGCCCTGGTGCCGATCACTGCTAGGCCAGGGCACCTAGCTATGCCTCGCAGTTACCCCCAAGGGGATTACTGCCACTCAAGGCAGAGACCTGAGCACCACAAAGCAGTCAGTGTGGCCCTCGGGGCATGGCACAGTCCAAAGGCACAAGATCGGCACCTAAGGACAACTTGGTGCTGTAGTCAGGAAGCCAAAGGAGACAAAAATAAACTGAAGAAAATTGAAAGGCATCAGGATGGGAAAGGAACACCTGTAGTAAATGAGGAAAGCCTCAGGACCACAAAAAACATTTTACCAGAGGTAAACACTAGAAAATAGAAAATGACCTCAGAAGAAAAAGAAAAAAAAAAAAAAAAAAAAAAAAAAGGAAACAGAACTGGATGAGAGAAGAAACACAATACAAAACATAAATAAATAAATAGTAAGGGAAAAACAAACACAGCTAAAAGAAGTGTGAGTTGCCAGGGCCAGCTCCTCAGGGCTGGTGTGTGCCAGCCGGTGACACAGTGGCTCCCCAGCTGGCCTGGCTTATCGAGCCCTTGGCTGCCCAGGGCCTGGCTGGTGCCAGCTGCAGAAACCGTGCCAGTCGTGGAGCCAGTGGCTGCCCGGTGCTGGTGCTCCGTGTTCAAGCCGCAGGAGCAGGAGGGAAGGCAGGGCCACCGTGGAGGGGTATTTCCCTCAGGGGAGGTGCAGAGACAATAACAAAAGATGTTCTGTTACTGTAATCCACTAAGAACACCAGCTCTGCTTCCAAGGCTTCATCAGCTTGAAAACTCACTGTTACAGCAGCCAGTTTGAGAAGGATAAAGGCCATGCATTATGTTTTTAAGGTTTTGTTGTTTTGTGGTTATTTACTTACTTATTTAAATCCCCAAAGAGTTTGTAAATGAATAAATGTCATTCCTCTCCTTGTGCTTGATCATGTTGTGACTACCTAAAAATTAAGCAAGCAGGCAGATTAGTTGGGCATGGAATTAACAGTTTTATGGTGGCAAATGGGAGAGCAGGTGACCTTTTCATTAGGCTTAACTGTGCAGCTCTGACAGACGTGCCACTTCAAGTGTGTAAAGTGTGAGAGTTACGAGATTGCATGGCTTGTGTTTTTCTCTCATCATTCACTAAGATAAACACTCATCCAGTGAAGTCAAAAGCAAGTGATTCTCTCTTTCCATTAGAACAGCATAAATTGCAAATACATTTATTTCAATAACCACTCATCGGCAGGAATCAGAACAGAACAATTTGTGAAAATGTCAGATTTCTACCTCCTGAGCCCAGGAGAGACCAAAAGACTGTGAGAGAAATGCACGCCATTGCAGCAAAAGGCTGCTAGACTGATGTATTTCTTCTTACAGCAGGAGAGTGGCTTGATTTACTGCTTCTGCAACGAGATGCCACCTCCCCTCCTAACCGCTGCCACTCCTCGTGTCGTATTTATTACTGAATGGTTGATAATTACATGGTGCGTGATTTTCAGGGACGTGAGCAACATGCGGCTTTTACTCTGCTGATAATGGTGCCATGCAAACACATGCACCCAGCATGTGACACCTTCGGATTACCAGCCAATTAACTCAAATTGCTCTAAATTGCTGTGATCTATTAAATGCAATCCAAGGGCTCAAATCACGAGGTTCATCTGCTGCATGTCAGAACCACCTTTTCACTCATGCAGAGCTCTCTGTTCTCCGTGGCATCTCCTGCTCGTTTTCCCTCGCTGCTGCTTTATGCTGGCCCTGGGAGCTGCACAGAGCAGTGCGTACAACAGGGAAGGCTGAATCCTGCCTCGCCACCACACTGTGCAGCAGCAAATGCCACGCTATCCCAGTGACAGCAGAAGATGCAGCTGACACTTCTCCAGTGTAAGAGGCAGCCAGCCTGCCCTCTCCCCTGCCACTTCACTCCTGCTCGGGCTGCTGCAGCCCCAGAAGCCTTGGCCGCCTTTGCCCGTAGGGATGGTGGATGGGTCGTGGTAAACTCGGTGTCCAGCAGGACCCCCAGGCCCTGTTCTGCCAGGCTGCTGCCCAGCTGGGTGGCCCCAGCCTGTCCCCAGGTGCAGGGCTCTGCTTCTCCTTTTGTTAAACTCCACGGGATTCCTGTTTTCCAATTACTCCACTCACCCTAGCATCCTAATACTCAGCTCCCCAAAGAGGAGCCTAAAGAGAGCTCCTCACCCCAAGTCTGGTGTCAGGTCTTCTCTCGTGGGCTGTCTCTGCCTCTCCCAAAGCCACTACTGACCCCAGTTCCTTCTCCCTCGCCTCACTGCTCCCCTCCAGCTCTGTAACTGACCCGTGTCCAGCTCCTGCTCTCCCATCTCCCTGCAGCACCACAGGTGCCCCGACTCTGCTCCCCCTCCAGCTCTGCTCCCGTACAGCACATAGGCACATGAGCCTACCAAGAAATTTCACCCTGCAGCACGGAAAACACTGGCATTTGCCTTCCCAGAGAATTAGGATTCCAAACAACTTCACAACACTCCTGTGAGATTACGTTTCTTTTATTCATGATATTTGGATTTTATAGCTTCCTCCACCAGGATTGACTTGAAAAGCAGTCTTTCACGGTGTCCTTTTCCTTTAATGACTATAGCAGTTAGTGTTGGTCTCTCTTCTCAGACAGCTGAATCCCCATTTACCAACAAGCAGAACAAAAAGAGACTAAGACACATCTAACATCATTAAAAAATATTCAAATACCAAACAGCACTGATGAAGAGGAAAATGAATTAAGCATTTATTTGTTAGAAATATCCCCTTAAAAATAGCAAAAGAAAAATATATATTCTGTGGGAATGTGTGGGGATGATACGCGTACCTATTTACACACCGATACTTCCACATCAACATCCTCACCAAAACACACATGCACACGCACGCACTCGCACACACACATTAGACTGGAAAAGTAATTATTTTTATTTTTGTAGTAGTTTGCTGTTGTTGTTGTTTTGGTGTGTGAGTGTCTGTGTGTTGTTTACTTTTCCCCTGGGAAAACATTGTTGCATCTTTTTACTACTTCTAAGAGCTCAAGCTTATTTGATTAAAACCCTGAAAAGCACTGCTTTTCTCATTAGCATAAAATACATGAAAAATCAAGTTTAATCATTTTGGATTTGAACGTGTACCACTACCAGGTTCTTACTACTGATTTGGCTTACTTTGCCCTTGGAACTACTTGTGTAATTATTAAAAAATGCCTTTAATTTCTTCCAAGATACAGGAAAAAATGTCTGATCACTGACCACTTGTATACATCTGATCCCCCAGTGTCATCCCCTTTCTAAAGCACTTGAAGCACGTCACATAGTAGCAAACATAGTCCTGTTTTATACATAGTGCATTCTGTTTTGCAGTGCTTGAAGGCAATTCCTGCCCTCTGCTTCTGCTCTTCTGAAGAGAAAATGGAAAAACAACCCTTGGTGGTATCTCTTCAGAGGGCGTAGGTGAGAGCTGTCCCTCTGGAGGCAGAGAGGCAAGAAAGCTCATCTTCAAAACAACATCATCCTTGGAGAGGTACAGAGAAAATTAAGAGGCAGAAGGTCAGCTCTAAGCCCTCACACCCAAGGTATTTTCAGAAACCCCAAGAACATGTAGGAATGACAAGAAGCAGAAGGAATGGCCTTTAGTGGGTGGCTCCAGAATGTGTAATTTATTCAACCCAAGTGCAAAGGTGCTGAAGACCCTGTTCCATATTTAGGAGAGAAAGCAACTGGAGACCTTGGATCTTCATCTAGATCCCTCTGGCTGAGAGAAGGCCACCTTTAGCTGGAAACACCCTGGAATCGCCACTGGTAAGAGCAAAGACCTGAGAGGATATTGCTAACAGTGACTTGGCTACTTGCTCCCCAGATACCAAGGGCACCATTCCCCGCGTGTCCTTCTACACAGCCCTGGGAATCTTCCTGTGCATGACTGCTGCAAGGATGCTCAGCGTTCACCCCTTAGGTCTCTGCTTGTCTTCAGTAGTTGCCTGTAGGTGCCACCGAGTTACATTAACTGCTTGTCTCCTGTCTCCCTGCCCTGTTAATAACGAGTCAGGAAAGTTGAACACCTTGTATGGTGCAAGCTTTGCTGCTTAGAGCTTGAGTTCTTGGCAAAAGCTCGTTTCCAGAGGTGCCTACCTTCTCTCAAATCCAATGGAAATCATCAATTTCACTGCTATCAGCAAAAAAAGCTCCCTAGTAGTCCCTGGGACTCCATCCTTCCTACAGCCCAAGAGAGGTTAAGATCTTTTTCAAGTTACATTGTCACTGCAGTGTAGCACTAACCTATGTTCACACAAAGCAGCAGTTCATTACAAAATCCCTTATTACAGAGACAAATCAATGAAGGCTATTAAGTCTATTATCACTGAAGGCAATTTTGGTATCACAGGAGCCTTTCACACTCTGAAGTAAAGCTGGCTGTGGCCTCAATCAATTAAAGTGATCCCAATTACATTGCCTTGAAGCTCAGCACTAACAACATCTCTTAAGGTAACTGCCAGACTCAAGAGTGTTGTGTTTTTTTTTTTGTTGTTGTTGTTTTGTTTAGTTTAGTTTTGTTTTTAGGTAGGAAAAAAAAAAAAAAAGACCTAATTGAAAGACTGGAAAGGTGGAAAGGTGAGTAAAAGAAACAAAATAAAACCAAACCAAACAAAAAACATAATCCCAGAACCACATGAAATGCTGTTAAAACACAGGCTGGGGAATGGTTAGGAACACATATAATTGGTAAGATCAAGCAGAAAGATTTTCTCAGTAGGCGAAATGAGTGCCTTTGCATACAGTTGCATTTAAGCTATGGTTCTCGTAACATATCCTGAGGAATTGCATAAATCAGGACCTGTGATTAACAACCAAAACAAGACACTGGATGTGGCCCTGAGCAAATTGCTGCCGAAGCCGGAATCTGTCAGATCTGGATCCAACAGGGTGCGGCCCCTCTCTTCCAGGGGAGGAGGAAAACAGGGAACACGGCACTGCCATGTGGAGATGCCACCTTCCGGACATCATTCCTGCAGGGACGTCAAATACCAGGCACAGAAAAGGGAGGGATGGCACGAGATGGTGAGGCCGTGGCCCAACACCTCTGCAGCAAAGGCAGGGCTTGTTGGAGACAGCTGGGCAAAGGCCCAAGCCCGCCACGTGCAGGAAGTTTATTTCATCACCTGGCAAACTCCAGCTTCCCGGGTTCTCTGCAGTCTCTTCAGGAGCAGGCAGGTCTGAGATGCCCAGATGTGAGCCTGCACTCAGCCTGGCACAGATGGGAAATGAGGAGGGTGCCAGGAAGCCGCTCCCCTGCCTCCTGTGCCAGGACTTGGGCCAGTGCCCATCACCACACCACGGGTGCTGAATGCAATAGCTACAGGCTCACGGGGAAAATACAAGCCGGAGCAAAGCACCAGAGCGAGTAACCAAACTGAGCACATTCTGTGGCTGGTTCAGCTCCTGGGCTGGAAGGGCTTTTCCATGAGACCCACAGGAATTTTGTCCAGGTCCAACACAAGTCCCTCAGGAGTCCTTCCACTCTGCGTTTCCCTCCTTTGCCTCACAACACGTGCTTCACCACAGAAGGGAACACAAGAGTTTAGGAAACTGAAAGACTGTGTTAGAAGAAGGAAAATACTCCAGCAGTTTTGCAAACACACTGAGATTAATGCATTTACAAGAAGATTATCTTAAAGTAATTAAAAGCAACTGGGAACAAATTCTGCTGTGTTTTCAAACTCCACTACAGCAATTAGACTGAAGACAGCACATGGTGATAGCACAACAGAATGAAGAGTAGATTATTTTATGCATAAAATAAGATCTTTTCCAATTTATGTAGTGGCTCTGATCTTTTCGTTAATCTTTAGCACAGAGCATGGCAGTGCTGCTCAGCCATAGGATCACCAGATGGGGCTGACTGCAGTGAAGTTCAAGCACAGCAGGGCAGTGACCGTGCTCTTCGCAGCAGGGTAGGAGAAACCCTGCCACATGCAACTGATGTTGCAACTCCAGGCAGTCCTCAACCACACGTCCTGTGAAGCCTTCTTCCACAGACACATTTATCCTGTCTTTAAAACGAAGCAGCTAAGCTCAGCAGCAGCTATGGCAGTGAGTTCCACAAAATGGTTTTATCCCGCAAGAGTGCCAACGCCCCCAAAATTATACGTGTATTGCAGTCCCCAGAGAATTAACCTGATTGCAAAGACCACTGAAGGAGGTAAGACACTCCAGACCACTCCCTTGGAAGCAAAGGACAATGCTCCTTGTGTCATCCTAAAGATGCAGAAGTGTCTCCACCTAGCTACATGAGATGTTCACAGACCAAGGCCCTGTGTCCCAGCAAGGACGTGATCACCAACACTTACACGCTCTGTTTTAAGCAAGCAAATCAGAATACACCACAACATGAGCCAGGAAAGGGTTGCTGTTATGCTTGATTTCTGCTACACCCCTATTTCAAATGTTCCAGACACTGGATGCTTTACGAGATCTGCTTCTGAAAATGCCTCAGAAGAAATAAACAAAACCAACACTCTTGAGGGGAAGGCAGCAACAGGGTTCAGCACTCACCAAGGAAGAGTAATCTCTTACTATAACAAAAATGTGCAAAATGCATTAGAAGGCACAGAATACATAGGTGTGTTCCACTTGATCCCCATTTATTCAGCTAAATCTCTCTTGTGATCTGTTAAGTATTGCTTAAAAAAAAAAAAATAAAGCCTTTTATTGGGCATATTTACATAGAAGACTGGATTTACTGCAATGTAGCCTTCCAGGCTGTCCACCAATGTGTTATTAAGTTGGGCTGGGAAGTGCAGAAAAAAATGTGAATTACTCCATTGGGGAAAGGAGCCACACGGTTGGACACTGTTTAGATGCGACAGAGATTTTCATTTAGTCCCTCCTGCCCTGACTGTTATGTTACTCATCTTTATCTCCTGATTATCAACATTAAATTTATTTCTCCCTGAAAAGATAAAACTTTAAGGTGAATGGGTGGGGTCCTTTCTCTAAGGGGATAGGAGGACATCATTTACAGGACAGATCAGTGCAGTTCATAGGGTATTTCATGACAATTCTGACTATGAATTGCTTTTTTATGTAATGCAGCAACACCGACCAGATTTCCTGTCCATCACAGCAAGAATTCAAAGGTAAGACATCAACACTGCAGTGCTGTATCTGGGTGCGCACTCAGGTAGCTGGGATCAGAAGCTGCCTAGCTGTCACCCCACTACGAGTCACACCAAAGCACAAACCGTCTGATCAGCAAATGGACAGGGCTGTGTTCCTGGAAAATCACGGCTCGCTGGGATTTGGGAATGGTGGCCAAGCCTTGGGTGGTGGTGAAGGGAGGGAGACATGAAAGGCTGTGGGTCTTCTGCGATTCCAGGCTGCCTTGATAATCTGGAGGTCAGCCCAGGGGGACAAATTTCAGTAAAGCTTTAGCAGCAGGAAGGTATTCTGTCATCATTCGTGGCTGAAGAGGTTCTTATCCCTAACGAAGGAGCTAGAACTAATATCAAGTTGATTCTTCTTTTTCTCACTAACCCACGTTGCTCGGATGAGGTTCTAGCAGCATATTCAGGGTTAAGCACACGGACAGCAGTGGGAAGCTTTTGTGAAAGTAGCTGTGGTTCCCAGCTTCTCAGCTTTCCTGGATTAACTAGCAGGTTCATTCTGCGAGGGCTGTCATGTTCTCGAACTCTGCAGCAAGACAAAAATTGGACTTTGCTTTTCTTCAGTGGGTGTTTTTTAGTGACACATCCTGGTTGTCATCTCTTTCTGTAAAACAAGAAGGGGGATTAAATAGCAAAGGGCATTTGTTGTAAAGTGTGCATATTCCTCTTCCCAATTACCATTTCGGCATCTGTGCAAGCTCACCTATTTTTATATGCCACCATCCTTCTGCTCCTCTCTGTCACTTTCAAGGACAATGAATGTAATTGGCAATTAGCATGCTGCTTTCTGTCACTGTTGACAGCTTTAATACCTCACTAATTCCCTAGCCCTGCCATATAAATGGTGCTGCATCCCACACAAAAGGAATAAATCACCTGACAACGCACTCAGAGGTAGAAAACTTCTAACTTAATGTGAGAAAAAGGATTCCAACTGCTGTCACTGTACCTACATCCAACAAGAAACGTGGAGATACATTTCTATCTAATAATTTCTGCCTGGAAATTATGGAAACACAGGGCAAGGCTCTTCCAGGACTCGACCAGAGCTGTGGAATTTGACCATGATGGCATCTGGGAGCATTCAGACTGCATTAGGAACTGGGGTCTGGGATCCACCATGGGATTTTATTTTATTTGACTTATTTATGGGCATTTTGATGCACACTATCTGGTAGCTGACTATCCTGTTCTATACAATCCTTCACGCTGGTCAGCAGAAATGCTGGAAAGAAGTATCAGATGGGTCTGTACTTTTCTAAATTTCTGTCAGAATTTGGAGGTGAAAATGTGTCTTGCTCTGAACAAAGGTCAAGTCTTCTGCGGGAACAGGGGCATGTTAAGATCAAAAATCTGTTATTTTGTATGGGTTTTGGCAAAAGATGTAGGAATAAGGAAAGAAGCCCCAGATTTGAGGTCAGGCTTGAAGGGCTGAAGCACCTACAGGTCAGTGGGGCCATGCAGATTCTACCTTTGGCTCTTCTTTCAGTGTCTCCAGACCTGTACAGCATTTCCTATGGAAATTAGATTTACCAAGCTGGCAGAAGTTTCTAAAAATCTTAGCTTGCTTGAATAATTTGTTACGTGTGTCAGAATCTAATGTAAAGGCCTTGGCAGTCTCTCGGCATAGCAGGTAATTTATTACTTAAAAAATGGAATTGTAGGATTTCTTTCCCCTTCCAGAGTTTTAATTGGTTTCTGTTCCTGGTTGTTTCACAGACTATCTTACATCACCTGTTATTTTGCTGTCATGCAGGTAACAGAATGGGATATTGTCATTTGCAGCTGCTCTAAAGGCAATGCAACTAGTCCAGCAATCTCTAGGGTTGTCTGTAATACCCACAGTGATCCTCACAGTAATCCAAACGGGTACTTGATTCTCCCTCTCATTTGTTAAAGGTGACAAAGGTAAACTGTCATGGAAGGATCTGTCCCCTTGTCCTGTTAAATGTTGGATGTGCTCTGCCACCCATGAGTTTTGGTGGCACGGCAGCGTCCCCAGGGGCGTTTTTGCCAGCCGGGGACCTGCAGTGTGTCTCTGTGCTCCCAGCTGCCTCCACGCGGTGGTGCCAGGCTTTCAGGCCTGGGGAAGGACTGCCGCTCGCACATCATCTTCTGCAGGAAAATCTTTTATTTCCCCCATCTGAATATAGTCTGTGCTATGCAGCACCACTGCTCCTTGCTGCAGCTGCTGCCCAGCATCTGCTTGTGGGCAGGCAGCAGCATCTATCTCTGCAAAAGCAGCAGGACGATAAAGCAGTACCAGGGTCACTGTAAAAAACCTGGCTGTGCTCCTTCGGGAGCAGTGGGAGGCAGACTCTCCCTCTCAATGAAATCATAAAACTTTGTAAGAAACTCATTCAACACGCAAAATGCATTTCCACTCCTAAATAAAAAAAGTAGTGTCAGAGGTAGGAGATGAGACGTGGGTAAATATATCCAGGCAAAGGAAAGAGCAGGAGCCTGGGTTATCTGTAAACCAGAGTGCTTTAAACCAGCTTGCTATGGGAGTGTCTGAAATGTTTCAGCATCAACAAATTGCACCTGCAAGTTTCACTGCCCAGGTGTCATGACCCATGGAGCTACGATGCCACTGAGCTCTGCAGTTTGGACAGAAATTATCTCTTACTGTAACACAATTCCTGCCCACGGCTGTCCCTCCCTTCACCTCTGTGATGTTGCTAGGACAGTGGTGTCCACCATCATCCCCCCAACTCCTATTTCCCCCACCCAACCCTGTCACAGCAACGTTGCTGCAGAAGGCTCTGCAAGTTTTCTCCGAGCTTCTGCTCAAAGGGTCTTCTTCCAGCACCTGCTTGGTTTTGGTATGGAAAATGTTCACCGAAGTTACAAAGTCAGGAAATCCTTGAAACCTACAGAGTATCATTATCTTCTGATGCACAGAAACCTCTTCTATACTGACCTAGATAAATGAAGGGCACAGAAATACAGAAACATGGACACATTGCATATGTGCACGTTTCTACTTATTTCAGACAATGAGCTGAAAATGCTTAAAAAAAAAAAAGAAAACCTGTAATCCTTCAAACAGTAAATTGGTCCATGCTTTGCGACAGTGACCTACTTCTAGCTGTTTTTTCCTTACAGGAATTTACAAAAAGGAAAGATTCTATTATTACTATTTTTAGGAAGACTGATATAATTATAAAGCTGGCAAAGGGCAAGTTGGCCTCAGCCAAAACTCTGGTGCGAGAGAGGTGAGACGGGGCCCAGCTGCGGAGCCTTTCACGGAGCAAACCTGGGGCTGGGACCTCTCCCAGCCAGGGACTGTAGCAGCCAGCCTCTCCCTTGGCATGGAGCCTGCACCAAAGTCTCCCGTGGAATTTGGAGGTACCAGGGAGACTGACACAGCCCCACGCCAGTTAAACCAACCCTCTCAGACCTCTCCAGAGATGTGGCTCCTCAGCTGTCCTGGTGGTGCACAGCAGAGATGAGCACTGCCTTCAGCACAAGCTCAAGACTAAGTCTTGTCCAGAGCTTCTTGAGTCTTTCTTGCTTCTGCTTCTCTGAAACCTAACAGGTTGTTTTAATTTGGGGAAAACACAGAGGTACATTCTTGACTAATAATTATTCATCAAAAGCATGTTAGGAGTACTTCCCAAACTGGGAAAAGGACAACTGGTTGTGGTCTGCCTGCAGACTGTAAGTGCTGCATGCCTGGCAAGGACAAGGACAGCCAGCCCCACTGGAGGATGAAATGTCCAGGCCAGGCAGCAAGTCGGAGGAGTAGGCGTGGAGACAAGGACAGGCATGCACAGGCATTTTTTAAAGATGTTTAAAACTTTCAAAGTCTGCCTGTACTGACCAAACACCCAGAACAAGACTAGCAGAAAGCTCCACACCTGAGCTGGTGAAAATAGATCCAATTCCCCTTCAAAAGCAATTACCAGAAATTCTAGAGTTTTATTCTGTACCACAGCATTCAGGCTTGTTCCTTCTACCAGTTTTGGGTCACACAACTCAAAAAACGAAGGCAGAAAACAGCGGTGTTTTCAAAGCCAAAATACAAAGCAGATATTAAAGCTTCGACCCAATCTGTGAGACGACTGTGCCCAGAGAACAGCCACCAAAAGATACACCCCCCAAAGATGGGTTCCCCACCAAAGAATGATGTTCTTCTAAGAAAATGGTGTTGCTACGCGTGTGAAAGTCAGAATTGGGGTAGCCAAAATGTAAGGTGTAAAAAAAGAGACGTCACCCCAGCACCAGCATTTAATGGAAGCAAATGCTGGATGGTGGGGGATCCACGGTCTGCAAAAGCTGATGGGAGAGTGGGTGAATTCATACACGTGAACGGCATGAACAACATCACCCTGTGAGGATGCCACTGCTGCGCTAACTGCCCTCACTGAAATGAGCACAGGTCATGACTTCTTCCACTTTTGCTGTTGTGGTTTTCCCCACAAAGATTTCAACAACTGATGAACCATCATCGTGCGGACAAAGGTCTCAGTATCCTGGTCACAAAGGAGCCTGTTTGCTGGGAGGAACGCAGATCACGCGCTCCAAGATCCAGCGTTGCACAACTGATCTATATTCGGACAGCTAATTAATCAGGATAGGAATGATAAAGCCATATTTGTAACAAGTTATTTGCTAAACTCCTTTTTTTTTTTTTTTTTCCCCTTGTGTTTTTAGGCATGCCTTTTATCTTCATTTACAAGTTGTTTTCTCCAAAGTTATTTTACAATTTTTTTAGTTGCCACTGTCTCTGCACACCAATAGAAAAAAAAAATGACAGGCTGGTAATTGCTACTATCCAACAGGCAAATTGATCATCTGGGTATTTCCTTTGTTACAACTTCTTTTCCTTGAATGAGCCTCAATTATGATGATGCTTAGGACTAGATTAATCCCTCCCACAATCTGCTTGGTTCCAGGGTAGCTATTTCAAAGCCAAGCAAGGCCTGATGATAATCCTCATTGATCACTCCTGAATTTGTACAGCAGTGTTTGCAGGACACAGATAATATTCCTGTCTGCAAATGTAATCCCTTATCACTGGTGACAAAGGCACTTCATCAACCGACTGCACGTGGCAACAGGACCAGGAGGTCGCACTGAGAAATGCACCTGTCAGTGGGGTTGGGTTCAGGCAGCTGGTACACACACAACGAGCACTCGGGTGACTGACTTGCTTAAATAAGTCTTGTTCCCAGGATGTGCCTTCACCTCCTGCATGTTTGTTTCCTCAGTAACAATGGAAGAAACCTCCTTCTGTGGCTGCTTTTGTGTTTCTTTCCCTTGGCACTGAGGTCATGCAGACTGAACAAGCAAACGGTGATGCTATCTTTAGTATAAAAGTTTGCAGATTTTTTTTCAGAACACACCAGTTCTCTGCTATAAGCTACAACATGGTAAGGGTTTCACATAAATCATTTTGTACGCTAACAGATTTATTACAATAGCACAATAAACACATTTTCATGTTTTCTTCAACTTTTTACAATTACAGATGGAAAAACCTGTTTGATCCAATTTTGTACAGTTTTGCCACCGTCTGGCTCTACCTGCAACCAGAACCTGCAGGTGTGGCCTGCAACCCTGCCTCCCATCGGCGACAGGGCACCAGAAGGGGCCGAG